TCCATACCTCAGATGGTAATTTGAGGAATGTAAAGATTATAAAAATCGAAATTTAATAAATTTAATTCGAAATAAATAAATTTTCCGAGCTGCTAGTTCCTCGTATACCAAAATCTTCCAGTGTAAGAAGTAAACGCGATGAAGCAATTAATTCGTAAGATTTACAGCTCATAGGCCGAGTATCCCGATGCATTTTACTGACCATGATTATGGACCTATCTTGCACAATTTGAATCTTATCCTATTAGCATCTAGGAGGACAATTATGGACTTCCTTTTTCTTTACAAAATTTTAAATCTGATTAAATCGTGATTAAATGTCCTTCCTTACCTAATGATATAAACCTTTATGTACCTCAAAGAGCATTTAAAACATCGCGTACATACCGGCCTGTCTGTTACAAATTACGATTCTCAAATACCAATCCTATATTTCGAGTCACTTCCTTAGGAAATAATAATAATAATAATCAAGCAATAAAAGTTTTTGGTGTTTCTCTGTATGTTCACTGTAGTTCTATTATGAGAAACTTGTGAACTCCGAGTGCGACCATTTTCTTTATATTCTAATGGGTTTTCCCGTTTAATAAATAAATAAATAAATAAATAAATGAATGAATAAATATATATTTATATAAATAAATAAATAAGTAATTCGAGATTTTTAGGGTTAATCCTACGCGTTCGATTGCCAATTTCGATTTGTTAATTGACTCTCTGAAAAAGCCATAAGTCTACTCGTCACGTGGTCTCGTTCACCACCCGCGGGGTCGCCGAAAATTTTGGGACCGGATGTCTGTCGTTCTGTCCAGCACGCTGACACCGTGACACTATTGTTCGAGAGGTAGAAACGGATACTAAATTGCCCGTGGGGGCGATGCGACATACGACTCCAAGGACACGAAAAAGTAGACGTCCTGTCCCGGCACGTTTAATGACCTCCCCATTTGTCAACCGTAATCGGCCAATTAGAGACACTATCGTCACTAGGTGTGTAAAGATTCAGAACTATCACCGCAGGAATCGTGACGAATCACTGCTACTCGCCATTTCCTTTTCGAGATACCGTTATCTCGTTTCATATCTATTAGTAGATATTTATTCAATTTTTCCTAGACAGAATCACATGATTTTTGAATGAAAAATTGGCAGTAATGGATCCACTTTTTGAATGTATAGGTAAAATAATTGACTCACGATCAGGTGTGCACTCGATTGTCAAATTGAAACAAGGAATAGAAAATATTGTACTATAAAATACAACAAAGTCTCGATTATGCGAACCAATTTTGATACAAGTGTAATTATATTTTTTTAATCATCTAGTAACACTGTTCTCATACAAAAAAATGATCAATATATGAATTAAATTATTATATTTCTCTAGTCTATATTTGGCTCAAATAATCCAGGTTTCGAACGATTACCGATTTCCTATGTTTGAAAACAAAATTTGAAACCTCGATAATCGATATCCGATTTTTCTGTGTTCGAAAACAAAATTTGAAACCTCGATAATCAATATCCGATTTTTCTGTGTTCGAAAACAAAATTTGAAACGAACTACGAGAACTATACAAAAATGAATAGAAACTGTCTACGAAAAAATCTCGAAATTGAATAAAAGCTAGTAAAAATGGACTCTGTAAATAAATACCGCGTAGGTGGAGTCCGTGATGTGCAATAAAAATTTATAATAGAGTTTGGCAAAGCTTCTCGATGATAATTATCACAATTATCAGGTGAGATCGAAAAATAGAGAAAATCCACCTACCTTGCCGCGTTCTTTCTCAAAATCGCAGTCGTTAACGTCCCCAGCGTAGTTCCCGGATGCGTTGCCAAAAACCAGCTGAAGATTCGTGCCAGTGGCCGCGAACGCGATCTCCGTGTAGCCCTCGCGACAGCCATTTTGAAAGCGCACTTGACGTTCTTCGACTGGCCTGTCTCGGTACCCAGTGTACCTGACCTGCACGAACAAGATTAAGTCATCTCTCGAATCGTCCTTCATTCGGAATTTCCGCGAAAAAATTGAAATCGGCCGAAGGAAATTTCATCTATCCGATCTATATGATTCAGTGAATCGTGATTCAGCGAAGGTTCGACGAGATCGAAGCAGCCGTCGGAAGCGGATGAAATCAGCAATGGTAGCAATGCGAAATTCGAAGAAACGACATTCCTTCGGAGTGACTGGTATTAAAATGAAGCGACTTCGCTATTAATTAGCGTTTTCCACGGGTAACTATCACCCGGAGGATTTAATACGAATGATTCACGCGAAGAAGAAATTGGAGAAACTGAATGAATCACGCGGGAAGATCGAACGAATATTAAGCACAGAAAGCAGTCGATGGTAAGCAGATTCGGCGCGTTCTTCAATTTCGATCATTGCCTTTGCTCTATTCGCAAGTGCAAATAGACGTTCCCCAATGTTAATCGAATATTAATCGAACATAATCCCGAAAGATTGGAATTTGAAACCTCGAGAATCTTCTTGATACAGAAATCTAAACTGATTTTTACTTCGATTGCAAGTACAAGTAAAAATGGCAGGACAGTAGCCATTACCCCAATTTTATATCTTCTCTTTGCTTCTCAAATTATTAAAGAAAATGCGGAAAAATCGGATCGTTTATTTTCCTAATATAATTTGCAACTTACTTCGCTTTCTCTGCTGAGTCTCCTGAACAGCTCCTCCGTCTCGAACTTGGCCTTTTGATTAGGCACTACCCTGGGCATCTTGAAGAGGAACCTGGGCCTCTGTTGTTCGAACAGTCCCATCCCGTCGAAAGGCAGCACGCTGACACCCAGGCCTCCAGCTCCGCCCGTGTGTTCGCTCATGGTGTGCATCATTTTGCACGGATATTTGTTGAAAACGAACAGTCAAATTAATTTCGACGGTCGATCGGACACGCTCGGATTATCGTCGACCCGAGCACACTCTGATAGAACAATGTATGGGATGCGAGAGGGTTGTTCTACTGTGATAACAACGCTCGTATCCTTTCACCGTGCACCGAATGATAAAAAATTTCGCACAGAGCCCCGAATTCCGCGCGTTCAACTGCGCCGTGCGGCGTCTCAGTGGAGACTAAGGACAACCGGCGGCAAAAGCTTCGGCTTTCTCGTCCTGGCTCGCGCCACGCCCACCGGCCGGCCTCCGCTGCCCCCACCACGGCCGCCAGCGTATCGCGAACGGACGAGAGCGCGGCGTAGGGAGACCCCACCCCACGCGCTCACCCTGCCATCCACGGAGGCAGGAACGTTACGGGGTGACTCCGAAATCGCGTTACGGTACTTTACAACCGCTCGCATGGTACGCCGAATGGAGACACGTTTGCGTTTTCACCAAGCCCCGTAAATTATTAACGCCATTTCGATATTACTATACAATCTTCAACCAAATTACTGGCATATTTCTCAGTTTTAACACTTTTACATCGCAGATAAATGCGTATCGGTAATTATGAAAGTGGTCTAATCGTAATTCAAATATTCGAAAGACACGGTTCATTTCTATCATCGTAAATAAAGCGACAGAAGCTTCACAAATTTTCTTTTCAGCCAGACAAAATTTCTTTAATTAATTTACAACTTCTCTAACGCGCGAAATTTAAACATTCCATATTCCACGTATGCGTGATTTACTATGAACATTGCCACGTGTTCCACAGTATTTACCGAGGAATATCTCGTCAAAGAAACCTACGTATTCCAAACCCCATTCTCGATTTCCGGCAACCTTCGTCCACCATAAGCGAAAGAAGGATTGACATAGAAAAGAAGAAACGAAGATAGGAAACTGATGCTGCGCGTCAGCTGGTAGCATGGTGAAAACGGTTCCGCCAGTTGGAGCGGAGGATGAAGAAGGATGGGCGAGGCAAAGAGTGCAGCACGAGGATAATATAATATACTGTAGCGGGATGAGTGAGTACAAGGATTGGCTGTCTATCCCCTGCAGATACGGGAAATACGTGTCAGGGGGTTCCCGTTTCGTGCCAGGACTCTCCGGCCGCCGCTGTAACAACGTGTATCCCCTCGAGGCAAGAGATCTTCATCGCTCGTCGAGTGGCGAGGGCTCATCCGTTTGAGAGGATCATTGTCGAGGATCCGCGATTAAGATCGACGACCCTTTGCACGATCCGCGTTACAGCCCATAGATACCCATATATCCTGTTTTTTTTTTGCTCGATCCCTTTGGTCCTTGCCTCGCGCCGACAGCGAAGGCGTCTGTAAATTGGTCTTTAGCGAGGAGAAGCGTCTTCAGGGTGGATAATCTGGACACTTGATGGGAAATTTCGGACGAGAGGGGAAGATTAATATATCAGATCTCGGTCACAAAGGTTCCTGGCTCTTTTCCTTCGTTTTTTCGTGAAGAAATTCGGCATAGGGGAAGGAGATCGGTATTATTGCAGATTTCAGTCACAAAGATTTCAGTTTGTTCTTTTCTTTCTTCTGCGAAAAAAATTTGAGAAGAAAATCGTTATTATTATAATTTTTATATATAGATATCTCCGTTTCATCTCTTTCTTTATCCTCGGCAAGAAATTTGAGATGAGAGAAGTTTCCTTTCGTTAAGAAAAAATTTTCGTTGCTTTTCCTTCTATTTATTCTCGAATATTATTTTTGGTAATTTTCGAGAAAGTTGTAAATGTTACGAGGCTCGGACGTAATAAAGGAGTTCAAAATTCGTCACAGGTAATAGATGGAACGTGAATAAGTATTTCCACGTTCTGTTTATCTCGGAAGGTTTACGGCTTTAGCTTTATTGCTTATTTTTATGGCAACCCTGCCTGTCCAGGGCGGTTTGTTAGGGTTTATTGCTCCAATATTCGGAATCTTCCGTTCTGCAGTTGCTCGATGGTCAGGGAAAATTGACTGCTCTTCCTTATACAGCTGTAAACAAACATTCACGGAATATTTTACGCTACTATAATATAATTTCATTATAATAATCCTTACCTGACTTCTCGGACAGTCGTGCATACGGTCTGAAAGAAGTAACCATCCCATAGAAATTCAAGTTGTCATTGACTATAAAGACCATAACACCAATTAGAATTGCTTACCGTTTCTTTTTTAATAATCCATTCAATCATCCCATCGATATATAAATTATTATTAATCCTGCGTGACACGATATCCATTTATAAATTATATAATCAACGAAATCTGAAAATAAAATTGCATTAAATTCCCCGATTTTTGTACAATAGCGCTATTCTCAAAAAGTTAAACGTAAAAATTATCCTTATTCGATGAAAATTATTTACCATTTCTCCTTCGATAATCGATTTTAAATTCAAATTTAATTGTTCCCAATGATCCCTAATTATTCTAAATGTAAAAGCAATTTCTCCAATGAAAATCGTCCGACAATCTATCGAGTATACATTTATGTCCATTGTAATTATTCGACAATTGGCAGGGAGAAAATCCAATCCAAGAAGATCAGACAGCTTGTCGATCAAAATTTTGTTCGCCGAAGGAATCCATTGAACTTGCTGAAATTCAATTTGAACGCGTCGCCTGCGTCCCTGGCGTCGCGGGGATTCCCGGTCAGTCGCCATGAATGCCAAGCACGGCGAAATTAATTTCACGCGTGCGTTTACGGCGTGGCGTCACGACGAAACGGAAAAAACCGCGCGTCCAACTGGCCACGCCTCCCGCACGGCGCGATTGGTCCTGCGGCCGACCAATCCCAGCCGCCGGCAGGGCCCGCGGCGCTAGCGGTGGTCCACGTGTGCATGCACGCACACGTGACCATTACGTGCACGGATACGCGTGCGTACGCGAATGTGTTGCCTTTTTCGAAGACCGAAAACGACGAGAAGCTTCTAATAAGTTTATAACGCTGTGAATTTCTCTGTATACTTTTCTATCCGAAAATAATTAACGAAGTTAGAGAGAGAAAGGTGACGAGAAATAGGGTGACAACAGGAAATTTCTAAAAGCGAATTTTTATATTTTTTGAAATACTTGTACTTTGATTAAATGGATTATATATATAGATATATGGATCAATACGATGCAAATTGAAGTTTGTTCTACATTTTTGAAACGTGATTGGAATTAATTCTTTTTCGATTTATACGATAATGAAAGTATTTAGTTTAATTTTCTGTTGAATAAGATGACACTGTGTTAAATATACCAGTACGAGAGTTGAAAATATCTTTACGAGATTTGTTATAGTTTATAAAATATAAAAATGAAGTATAACATCGATCCTTTCTCTCTTTTCAAATTTTCACAATAATGACCCTAATTTAATCGGAGCTTAATACCCTCTCCCATAATCATGCTCCCATAAAGCAATACCATATTACATACATGAATACTTCAAAAATTAATAATTTTTTCCAAAATATTATCAACCGAGGTAAAATCGCATTTCCATTCTTCAATTTACACGATGATCAACCTAATTTAATTCCTCACCAAACGCGCTCATCGACAAGAGCCCTGGCAGCAAACAGGAACGTGATCGATACGGGCTGGTCGCGAAAGCGTTGCTAAAGAAACTTGGTAATCGTGTCACGTATATCGTGTAAACACTCAAAACGGGTTTGCTCGATCGAGTCAGCAGCATGTCTCGCGAGAACAGGAATTCCTGTTCGGAGTCGTCCATCTGGGTGCACAAGGCTTACCAGCGACACCGTTTGAAAGTGAATATCCGCCGATTATCGGTGACATAATTACGCACTCCGTTACGATACTCTGTTACCCATATTGCATCACGATTTAGGTACAGGGAGCCACGCGTGCGATCGACGTAGATCCGCCACAGAGCCGACCTCACGTAGTCACCAACGCGAAAGGGTTGCAATTGGAACGAGAAAAGCAAGATCGCATCATGAGGGAGAATTTCATACTTCTGAAGAAACTACGCGATATTATGCATCGGAAACTACCCACGGAAGAGACCTACAGGCTGAAATGGGACGAGACCAGGTGCATCAGGACTCGCTGATTTACGCTAACTAACGAAAATCCTACTTTCGTTCTATATGATCACTCTACTTTTTTCCTTCATTTCAGCAATTTTTACTTATTTTTAATTTAATTTTAATTTAACTTATTTGAGATTATTTTCCATCGCTGAACTATACTCGACCATCTCGTTTGTACGTTTGTATTTTCGTAATAAACAAGTGAACGTGGATCTTGTCGATGTATTTGACATCAACCCCGAAGAACCTACGACAAATATCGGTAAAAGAGGTTGACAGATTTTATTTGTCAATTTAGTAAATTTATAGGTAATTTAAACGTAATTTAAAAATAATAGATATCTTATTTTCTCATACCTTTACTGTACTTTTTCATTTTTATTAAGCAATTTTAATTTAATTATGTATTTAATAATCTCCGTAATTATACTGCATCGTTTAATCAATCTAGAAATTTTTATCGATAATTTAGAAATAATTTGGAAATTATTAGCGTAGTTTTAATTTTAGCGATTAAAACGGGAAGAAAATGGAGGAGGAAGAAGAATTAGGTGAATTCGATAAGTACCTAACCCCAAAATCTTCATCCGTCTTCGAAGATACCACGAGAGCGTTGACTCAAGCGGAAGCCGGAGAGTGTCTCCACACGCTGGGAAAATGTGATTCCGGCCTCGGTTACGCTTACCTAGGTCTGAACGCGTCGAATAAAGGCCTGACTGACATCAAGATTATACCATCGTTTAAATACGTGCTTTACGTGGATGTTTCCGGAAATAGATTAACAACCGATGCTCTTCAGGTCCTTTCGACGATGAAATATCTTTTAATGCTTCAGGCTGACAGGAATCAGGTGACTTCCGGCAACCTGGATCCTATGCCTTATCTCCAGGTTAATTACTCACCTTATCAACAACTTCCACAGCTTATTTCGTTTCATTTATTTTCTAAATCCTTTCTAAAACATAATTTGGAGCAATTTCTTATTGGTATTACGAAAAATGTCGTACAATAATAATTTCATACGTGGAATCTTCTTATAAATATAATTCTTTTTCATTTAATACTCCGAAAGGTCCTCACGTTGAATAAAAATAAATTAAAAAGCACAACGGGCATTTCTCATAAGCTTCTGGAGTGTCTGGAGTTGAACCATAACAATATCGAAGAAGTAACTATGAATCCCTACGATCTAGAGAATTTGAAGACCCTTGAACTGCGTGGTAATATTCTGGTAACTACGAATGGGATATTTTTCCCGGAGTTGGTACGACTGTATCTCGCGGAGAATCAAATAGAAAGAATAGAAGGCTTGGAGATATTAGTTAACTTGAAAATTTTACATCTGAGAAGTAACAAAATATCGAATCTGGACGGATTCGACTCACGTTGTGTTAAGCTTAGTTATTTGAATCTACGTAACAATGAAATCGCAAAAATTGATGAACTGGAGAAATTAAATTGTTTGCCAGCGTTGGAGACTCTAATTATTTTGGAAAATCCTGCAGTGGCTGAGGGAGAAGTGGAGGAAGAGGTTATATATAGGCGGATTATTCTGGCTATATTACCTAACCTGAAACGGATCGATAAAAATCTAGTGCTTTACGATGAGAGGAAAGAGGCTGCAGAATTTCGAAGGCGAATGGATACGATTCGCTGATCTAAATTTTAATCTTCTAAATGAGAGATAATATCAGAAAAATCGTATTCTGTACCATGAATTTCAATATATCGTAAATAATTATTAAAATTTACCATCATGCGATAAATGAAAAATAATTTATCATATAGAAGTACATTCCTACATGATCGATTACAGTTTTCGTCCAACGGTAAAATAGATTTCTCTTTTTATCGGCATTACTTAATTTTGTCCATTATGTATTTACTTTTACTTCCAAAATACAACAAATATATTTTTAAAACATGACTATTATAATAAAGAAGTAATTATTAATAGGATCGTCACAGGCAGCTACTGATTACATAAAAGCCGCAAGATGCGCCTTAGTTTTAAATAACTACAAGATATATTTCTAGGTTAAGTTTATTGTGCGTATTAGTTACTAACAATTATAAATCGAGTTACAAAATAGAGGTGACAGTGACTAATAATTGTTGAATTGCGTTTAAAAGAGTATACCGAAGAGAAAGCATTCTCCCGCCAAAAATTTCAAAGCATGTTCACGTGACTTACAGCTAGTTACGGTCTCTAGCGGAATTTGTTAAAATGAGAACGTTGAGAGTGGTTCTATTGCATCTTGTTACTGGACACGTATAGTCTGAAGTCTGTGCTCTGTATTTCTTCGAATCTATATTTCGTAATAGCTAATTTATAGTTAATAAGAATGTCTTCCAAACCTGCATTTATAGTCGGTAAGTTACAATGTCCATATGAATTTCAACATTTGCAAATAATCAGAAGTGGAATTACTTTATAGCAGAATTCGGCACCACGTTCTGTAATATTTTAGACGTTCATAACTGAGTTCAAATTGAAAAGTATCGAATGATGAAATAATATATTATCAACGTAAAGATTAACCTACGCGATCATACATATGTTAAATTAAACACCACGTGTTGCGTATTATCTCTACATATAAACGATAATAAAATAAGAAATAAAAACAAAATGGTTGTCTTTGCTCAATTTTTTTCTGAAATATAGCCCTGAAATTCTTCGAAATATGTCATAAAACAAAGTTTATAATTAAAAAAAATCGATGAATAGCAATCTAGGATTAATAACATCAATTTTTAATGGTCGTAGCTGATTTGTCGTTGGCGGAATGGGGCCGAAAAGAAATTACTTTGGCGGAGCACGAGATGCCGGGTCTCATGGCCATCAGAAAGAAGTACGGCCCTGAGAAAATCTTAAAAGGTGCTCGAATTGCCGGCTGCTTACACATGACAGTACAAACTGCGGTTCTAATTGAAACTCTCGTCGAACTTGGAGCTGAGGTAAGTCTTCTTATTTTTATGCCCTTTTTCTATATAATGCGTCAAATTTGATTCAATTGCTGCAATTTTTATTTGAGTCTAATTCCAAAATGACGTTCGCAACTTTATACTTTTTTTAAAATCATTAATAGAACAATAATGTATTAAATACGTAAAATATAACATTTTTGGAAATTTAGAATTTTCAATCATGCAATCATAATGTACCAAATGATGTACTATTGCACCAAAATTGAAAATATGCAAAGTTAGAAAACTTATTTAAATTAAAAAAGCATCTTTGAAAAATAGAATGATGCCTTATGAAAAGAAGATAGATAAAATAATTCACATATACATGTGAATCTATCTCAAAGACCATGACCCTGCAGGTTTCGCAACATCCACCAACAATTGCACCAGACATTGAAAAGCTTTCAAATCATACTCATAGATTCAGATCAGATAAACTGAAGTTGACACTTCCAGTCATCGTCATAAAGCACAATACACCTTTATACTTATTCAAAGTTGGAAGAAGGAAGATAAATATCACTTATGATGCAATGAAAACAACATTCCTAGCAATTATTCTAATGCATCTAATGATTGACTTAGAAATTGTATAAGTTAGGAACAACACTTATTTCGATAATTTTGAAATATATTGTAGAAATATTGTAGAAATCGATTTTGGTCACGTAGTTTAATATAGTAGAAAATTCAATGCAATAGGAGCAAAAGTTTTTTACAAATATTTAAGAAATTGAGACTAAGCAGTAGTTGTACGTTTAAAAAAAATTATTAAAAATATCGATTTCTACGATATATTTAAAAATCATCGAAATCGGTGCTGCGATCTATGACCTAACAAATTGCCATCAATTTTTTCTTATCGCTATTGCGACTCGTTTTAACAGCTACAAATCTTAAGTACACTAAATATTGATAGAAAAAATCTTGATATTCAACTCCATTTTCAATTCAAAAGAAGCTTAACAAGAAGACCCTGCATATACATTACATTTTATTTTTGCATTTTTTGAAATGAAAAAATGGTATTATATTTATCAGTAGAAACAATTGCAAATATTAATTATCACTGTTTCACAACAAATTGGAGTATGAAAAACAGAAATGGAAATTAAATACATCTTTTGGAATATAGTATATGAAGTATAACGACCTATATTGAATTCGTTAATCCTGGTACACGTAACACTTTACACGAAACATTTACTTTGATACCTGACCGAATTTACTTCAGATATCAACGACGATATTACTGATCAATTATCGTTGATGTATCAATAGGTTCAATGGTCGTCGTGTAACATATTCAGCACACAAGACCATGCAGCGGCAGCTATCGCAAAAACGGGTGTTCCCGTCTACGCTTGGAAAGGTGAAAACGACGATGAGTACCTCTGGTGCATAGAACAAACCCTCGTATTTAAAGATGGAAAACCATTGAATATGATCCTCGATGATGGGGGTGATCTGACTAACTTGGTTCACACCAAGTTCCCACAATATCTGGAGGAATGCCGCGGTATTTCCGAGGAAACCACAACGGG